TAAGAAAAACGTCATACTCCTCTGAAGGATTGTTGGTGGAGGACGAAGAATGATTGTTGCTGGAAGACGAAGAAGGATTGTAGCTAGAAGATGAAGAACCAGCCATCGACAACAACTGACGAAATGCTTTTCAGTTCTGTTTAATTAGACAAAATATAATGACATTCTTCATCAATCAAAAAACACTTCATTAGAAAATAAATTGAAGTAATTGAGAAATAAAAAATTACGATTTAATATATAATTATTAAATAATTCATTAACATTCCTAGTAATTCTAAATATATAATTAAAATAATATATAAGCAAATATGTGATAAATAAATCTTGAAACTAGAGGAAACAATGAAAAATATTCTGATTATTGTATTATTGCTTTTTAACTATAAATTAAAAACATGATATCACATTTTTACCATCTAAAAATTAAAAGACATGTGAATAAGTAGTTTATAAAGAGAGAAAACAAAAATTAAAAAAAAAAAAAAAAAAAAATCTGCCAAACAATAGAGGCACCACTTACTAATTAGCCTTGGAAGTTTAGATCTGACACACCCGTCACTGGAAACAACTTTGAGACACTATAAATATCTGTAAATCTTCAACCAAATTTGACTACATGTTCAGCTTTTTTGAAACATAGATTCTAATTTTTCATAAAATTATAAAATTAAAATAAAATCAAAGAAAAATAGAACATATAAAAGGTCCAAGTATATATGTCACAAAACTAACAAATGGATCCAGATCTGAATGATTTGTAGAGAGATGTAATTGCTCCTGAGAAAGTATGTTAAACCAGATATGAACTGTAAAATTATTCGTCAAAGTCAAATTAAATTTATATTTCTAGAATAATACTGATAAACATATATACTAGTAATATTTCAAAAGAGTAGGATATACATTAAGTTACATTTAAGACACATGAATAAGTACTTGATAGGAGAGAAAACAAAAAATTGAAATTGAAATTAAAACAAATCTGGGAACAATAGAGGTACTTACCTTTTAATTAGTTTTGGAAGTTAAGATTTAACAGTCAGAGCTACAGGAAGCTGAAAATTGAAACATGAAAGCATTAGTACTTTCATAAAATTATACAAAAATTTAAATAAAATCTGAAAAAAAAAAATAATAGATATAAAAAGTCATAGTATGTTACCGAAATGACGAATGGAGGCAGATCTGAATTGCTCCAGAAAAAGTACGTAAAGATCAATGAGGTTGTTGAAGCGATGGAAAAACCATAAAACTTTGCTGCTGTTATGAATGATTTCTCCTATTTTTATCTCTTCTTTACTCACTCTTGAAAGTCAATTGCAGAGAAAGTAGGTGGCAATTTCATTACAATTATTAAATGATTTCTTTTTCTTAGTCTCTCTCCATTATTTGACTTTGACAACCATGTGTTCACACAGTAAGAATCTTGGGGATGGGATTGCTATTAAATAGCAATAAATTGTTAATTTTAAGTTAGTTTCTCTAATTTTATCACCATGTTAATTACTAATGCTTTTAACTTTATTGAATAAGCGTAAAAGAGTTAAGACTTTATGATATAAAAATGGGGTGTTAAAAGCATTAGTAAAGAATAACGAATTAAAAGTAAGTTTAATAATTTAATATAGAGATAAATATGTAACTATAAAAATTATTAAAAAATGTGGTTTTTTTAGTCCAATAAAGGACGACAAATAGAACAACTATAACATAAAACGACACCAATGGTCAGTTCAAGTGACATCAGAGGTTTATTTTTTTTATCCTCTTCACGTGGTCTTCAAAGAAAACTACAAGTAAAAAAATGCCAATAGCTTCCTGCAGGAAGGTTCAAGGAAATTTCGCGACAATTATCAACTATTTCTTTTTCTTTGAATCTCTCTGCATTAATTCGTACTTTAGTAGAAATTGTCAGCTCTTTTTCTTTCATGCCTTAAGCTTGTGTTCACACAGTGAATTTGTTGAATAACTAATAATAGGTCTCCCAAGTGAGTATTACTATACCTATAACTTCTTCTCACAAATATTCTTTTACAATCCTAAAGTGATACTTCACAATTGATCAATCACAATTTATTAGATGGGAGCTATTGTGAATAGATTAATTGTGGGCTGCCACGTCAAGGTTGTGAGAGAAAGTTTATGAGAAGAGGTTGTAAATGTAATATTTTGATACTTATCTTGTAAAATTACTAATTTTATATTTAATGTTATATATCTCATGCTTCAATCTTTCATATTTGATTTAAGAGTAAACGACTTTCATTGTTGACAATTACCACCAGTGTTGGGGAGTGTCGGCAACCAAAAAATCAACAAACAAACCATAAACACTTCAAATAAACCTTCCTCAATCGTCTTTCAACCCAACAAATACAAATAATCGAAGGAATCAAACTCAGTTAATCAATCAAAACTCGAAAAAAACCCTAAGGTGGGGAAGCTTTAATCACCGACTATTGGTGAGCAAATAAGATCAGAAATATTGGGGCTTTTGGAGAGGAAGAGCCGCCGTAGTCGATTGCTGGTGACAAGGACGATTTCCAGTGACGAAATCAATCGAAAAAACAAATAGCGCCGTTAAGCCCTCCCACCACCACCACCACCAAAATACTCCTTATCACTTCGTCATCAAAACCCCCTTCCACTCCCGTCCGTCTAACACCTCCATTCGCCGACCACCGCACACGGTTAGTTCATGCGATTCTTGCCCTTTTTCAGCCGCTTCGATGTCAAAAATTTGTTTTATTTTCTTTAATTGAGAACATGTTTGGCCCAATTCATTTTGTTAAGAGAACATATATACATACATACATATAGTCATTTTGTTTTTTGTTTTTTGTTTTTTTTTTTTTTAATTTATGCCACTTCTCTTTCATTTATTTGATTATATTTTTTTAAAATATTTTGGTTGTGATTAATAAAAATGATTAAGATATATATATTATATAAAGAAGTCAAATAAATGTGTAGTTAAAGTGAGTGGATCAAAATTCCAAGTCCTTTTTTTTTTTTTTTTTTTTTTTTTTTAGTGATCAAGGGTGTCTGATCTACTTGCACGCACCCGTCAACTAATCTCCTAGAGTCTTAAAGTGAACGATCAAGTAAATTCTTTTAGTGGCCACACCTATTAGTGTTTAAGAGGATTCAAACTCAGAAACTCATGTTGGACCCTTTTACTCTTTTATCATCAGACTATCTAGTGGTGGTTAAAATTCTAAGTCTTTGGCCTCTATTATTATATTACTTTAACGAGCTAATTTTATGTTTTAATAATTTAATCACCCAACATCCCTGCAATATTTTAAAAATATGCACAAATAATGCCGTCCAAAAAATAATAACGTTACAGGTGTATTTTGGTAATCCAACCCACTTTCGTTGACTAATCCCCTGCTCAACAACTCTCTTCGTCCATTTCCTCACCTTGTATGACATGCCATGCAACCATTGGTTTTTTAAATTTCATGGTTGCTAATTAAACTAAGGAAAGTAATTCTAAATCAGATAATTTTTGTTGTTGGAAATAATTTCTTGGATTTTTTTTTTTCTTTTTCTCTTCTTTACATGTTGTTCAAAGAAAACTACTCAACAAAGAAAATACCAATAGCTTCCTGAAAGAGTCATGGAAATATCCTGATAATTTCAATACTTATGAGATAAATTACATTCACCAAATACCAATAGCTTCCTGGGATTCTAGAATTTGAAACACAGATGCTAAGTTTGAGATTAGTATGCAAATATCATTTTAGATATTCTAAAAATTATGTAAAGAATAATAATACTACACTTACAATTCGTAATATTATATTTTTTATCATTGAAAAAGGCATTTGTCGTTTTATTTTCCTTACAAAGTACAAAAATAAAATAAACAATGTTTTATAAAAGGATACAAGCACTGTGTTTTAGAGAGATCAATTAGTTTTTCCAAGAATTAACTTTAAAATTTCACGCTAATTTCATTCCCATGTTGGAGAATGACCATGAAATTTCTTATCAAAGACATGCCCCTTGTTTTGCCCTGATTCCATGCAAAATTACAAAAATAGACCTACGAAAAGAAGTTTTGATTGCCAAACAATAATGATAGTAGAAGACTAGAAAAAATTAAGAGGGATAAACTAGAATTTGAAATTACTTTATGAAATAACAATAAGTCTCTGCTCTTTTTCAATTAACAAAATGCAAATTAATTCATAGTAGAGGAAGGCAATAAAACTAGCAAGAGTTTTCTTTCACTTGTATCTTAAGATTTTTGAATAGCACTTTGGTCTTTGGGTATATTAATCTTCAAAATATTTTGAATATTATAAAATTAATTCTTATAAATGTTCAAAAAAATGTTGCCTAAATTATTGATAAAGAAAAAGCGTATTTCTTAGAAATATATCAGATTAGTTACCGTAATAATAATGCACTTAACTAAACAATTCAAATTATCAATAAAGTAGAACATTAATATTCATTAATAAAAACAATATAATATGAAGAACGATTATTACTTTAGTTAGTGGATTAAACTTTTCTTAAACAATTAATTACCAGATCTAATATTAATAAAAAAGAGAAAGATGACTAATATTATAATAATAACAATCCTTCTATTTCCCTACTTTCCACTATTACCCCCTTAGCATTTGAAATTACAATATTACCCCTTCCATTATTTTTTATTTTTTTTATTTTTTTGCCTTACAATTAAATTTTGACCACTAACTGACAATATTACACTTAAATACAAAATTTTCAAAAAATCAAAAGAAAAACCTTATACATTTGTTTTTTTAAATGATAATAAAATTATAAAAAAAATTAAAGAAGCAAAAATATTAAAACGTTTTCAGTTGATTTAAATTTTGAGATGTTTTTATGTAATGTTTTAGAATTTTGGTTGTCTGCTTCAAAAAAATTTGAAAGAATTTTTAGGGGTGATACGGACATTGCATAAGTCATATAACCCAGGATTAACCAAAGGTGGAGATTATTAGATATAACACCAAAACATTATCTATTTCATTTAACGAGAGACTTATCTGTTTCTACAACTTTGTACATTCCTATCTTCAAGTTGCTCTCATAACAAAAAAGATGTGATTGAGAAAAGCCTCTTAACCCATCAGCTTCAAAATGAGTAATGAGAGAAAAAGACATTATTCTCCTTAGTGACTACACGGTAAAAGCTGACATGAAACTCCTTTTCCCAATTATATCAACTACTTCCCAGCCCCGTCCCTCTTTAAAACATTCAACCTGTTATCACATAATCAGCAAATACAGATAAGATAAGATTGGAGCATCTATCTAACAACTGCATAAAAAAACAAGTATGGCAAAAGATAAGATACCGTGTCCAAGACCCTGTCACCAGCTGCCACTCCTGCAATGACATATATAGACTCTTTCAGAACAGCAGCAGCAGAATATCCCCTTGCATGCTTCATTGGATCCGCCTTAATCCATGAATCCATACGCGAATCATAAATTTCGACACTTGAAACCATTGTACTGCCATCATAACCACCCAGAGCATATCTACAACACAAATTCATCGTGTTAGTCTGAAACTTGAGAAGGATGATATGTATCTCTGGGGACTACGCATGCTGTCTTTCACAATACATGACGAACATGATTATGAAAAGTGAGTTAAAAATGTACAATGTTAAATCAAAATGTATTATTTTTTATACGACAGCCGAGCTGGGCCATCACCATCAACAAGTACCAATAAACTCCAAAACAAGAAAACAAGAGGAATAAAAAACTTACAATTTTCCATTCAAAACAGCCACTGAGTGGCAGGCTCTCTTTGAGTTCATGCTTGCAATTTGTTCCCAATAACGCATTCTGTAGTCAAATTTTTCTGCAGAACTGATACATACAAAAATGTCAGGCAACTCTTAAACAAACAATGATAGAAAAAATTAATTACATTGTGTCTTACTTCAGATAATCCTTCCCATCAAATCCGCCAGTAGCATAAAGCACACCATCAATTTCTGCAGCAGCAAGAGAAAATCGCTGGAGAACAAATGAAGGGCATTCATGGACCAAGTCTTAGTCAACTTATACATCATGCATGCTTTATAAGGTGGCATGCCACATCACACATCACACATCCAGTAAATACATGTAACTGACATATGTCTCATGATATAAAGTATCCTTAAACCTTGTATTGAATGACTGATAACATATGATAGATGCCCAACTTGATGACAGAAGTGACATGGTGTCCATGATGAAAAAAAATACCTTTATTTTCATGAAACTTAATTGCCATGATGTCAAATAAGCAATGAATTCAACATCATCAGTAAACCTTTCCTCAATCATTGCACCAAAATCCAGGAATCAAATGTAATAGATAGAAGATTTAAATTGAAATACGCAATTTTTTATTGTCTTTCTGGTTCACATTTTTCCGTTAGTTCTACCAAATTGAATTTCTCAATTATAAAAAATCATATTGAGTGAATCTAGAAAGTTCTTGTATCATAAATCATAGTGAATTCTCACTAGATATCTCATTTAATTATATTATGGTCCGTATATGAGGAATATCTGTTTTGAGTTTAATAAACGCTGTAATATTTCATACATTCTGAAATTTCCATTTGTCCGAGTTCAAACAAAGCAAAGCCCAGCCTCAATATTTTTCAATTTATGCATAAATATTAGTTTAAGCTCTCACAGGTAAACTTAATTTTCGATCCTTTATTAAATACTAAACCAATAAAACTGCATTCCTCAAACTGATTCAAGTGCAGGTGATAAGTGTACCTTTTGTCGCAGTGACAGCATACCGATCCATCGTTCAAGCTTCAAATCAAACATTTCAACATCTGAAAAGCAATCAACACTATTCCCACCACCAATTGCATATATTTTGTTATCAAAAGTAACTCCACCTAAGCCACCCTTTGCCTTATTCAAGGAAGGGCACGGGGTCCATTCATCATTAGCTGGGTTGTACGATTCAACTGACATATATTATGAAATATTAGAGATAAGTAGATTGAAAAGGCAATAATACTTTAAAGAAATTATTAAGAGCTAATACCTGTATTGTACCACGTGCGTCCATCCCCACCACCAAGGACATAAACCTCACCATTCAACAATGCAACTGAAGCATATGAACGAACAGAGTTCATTGGCTGAAAAGATTTAATCACACCTCGCGAGGGAACATATAAATCCAATGTTGATAACCATGATTCTCCATCATATCCACCCAATAGATATATTGACTCTGTAGGATTAACATGCAGCTCGTCTAAGGACTCTATGGCCTTTTCATCACTTAGTTCGATGGGAGGATTAGACACAGATTGCACCATTATACAATGATTTTTCAACTGCTGGATCTCAGCTTCTGCATCAACCTGGAAGAGTCCGGGTCAAAGGTATTACATCAAGTGGCCAAATGAAATACACAAATGCACCATCTTCCATAAACATCATAACCATTAATATCCAGGGGACAGGGGACAGGGGAGGGGGAATTAATGCATTGACCTTCAAACGAAGGAACAGTAGTCTCTTCAATTTATCATTAGTGCAATACAATATGAATTTGATTATTTCAAGACACTAGTGACTCTTACCTCTGTATTATAGGTACTTCACCCACTAACTAAGGCTGCTAAACGCGCTAAATTATATTTTCCTTTAAATCTCCGAGTTCTTGGTGTTAATACTAAGGAGAGGGAAAAACCATCAACTGCTCGAACAATCGTTGCCAATGCTTTTCCTATTCAACCTTCTAGAGCACCAATGGCTATAATTCTACTTCTACTTCCATTGTAAATTCATTCAATTTAACATTAGTCCTTAGTCCATAGAATATATATATATAAATAATTAATCAAAAAAGAATTCAGCCTCCAACGGCGACTAAAATATATCAATCTGCACATTGTTTGCTTATTAATTTTCCAAGGGCAGATAAAATCAGCTATTGGAAATAGCAGAGTTCAACATCAGAGGAAGGGCAAAGCATTACCAGCTTCTGCTCCAAATATCTCATCTTTAGATTTTGTTCAGTTTGAATTTCTTTAAGCTCTTCCACCCCTTGAATCAACTACATAGAGCATAAAGCAACTTTACTAAGGCCAAAGCAAGAAACTCTTTTGAATCTTAAATGAAATAAAGTAAAGGACAAATATCCTCAACTACCTTAGTTATGATGGACTGACAATAAGAAGATGAACAACTATTCTCTTCATTCTTCTCATCAGAGCTCATCTTCTCACAAATAGAACCCCTGTTTCCCATGCACATATCACTGGTAATGGCAGGTTCAGCTACATAATCAGTTAAAAGAACATCTTGACGTCCACGGTTAAAAGCCAATTCTTTCAGTTTCATGAGTATAATATCTTTCTCATCTTGTTCCACCATCTTCACATCTAAATGACCTTCCAATAGCTGGTTGTCTCCATTTAGTGGAACATCATCTCTAGAATCCATTTTCCTACTCGAGTATTTAGACTGATCAACCTCCAAAGGACATGGCTGAAGCAATTTACACGCCCCTTTCATTTCACCAACAGAAGCAGAATCTTCAGAATCTGAAACCCAGCCTAAGTACTTAGTAAGGTCAGTCTCTGTAGCAAGCAGCTTGAACCCCTTGCCTTCCTCTTCCGTGTCAGTTGACGAAAAAGGTTGGAAAATGTTTCCTCGCTTTGCCGTATTGAAAGGAAGACAAGGTAGGCAAGTGCTTGTTGAAACTGCTAAAGATGCAAGTGATATCAGCTTGCTTGCCTGAGAATGGTCAAGCTCAAACCAGAAATGATGATTAGTGTAGTAATTGTCTTCAATTACTGGTTTAAACTGTTCTTCAAGCAGAGGTTGGCATAGCAATTTGACACGAATCTGAACCTTAATTTGGAAAGCAACATAATATTGGGCTTATCAGCATTATAGCCTTCCCTTCATCATAAACTATCTGTGTCATATATAGCTTTTAAACTTAAAAACAACAAGAAAATATATAAGCAAACTTGTTATAATACCTGTGAAGGATACAAGGTTCTCTCAGAACCATCAGTGGTCCACCCATACGGGTCAATGTTCATTTTGCCCGGGCTGGCAGCTTCATAGATGCCATAAAGTTTTCTATCACTGTAGTTGAATAGAAAAAGTGGTAGGCCAGTATCAATGTTCTTTACATAGGTAAAGTGTTGAGCTGGTAAGCCTGTTAAAGTTAATACAAAATCCAATAAGTTCATGGAGAAAAAACTACAAACAGATACTGAAGCAGCACTGCAATGCTGCCCAACGAAACTGAAAAGAAAAAGAGAAATTATATCATATAGAGATATATTCTTAAACCAAACTACCATTTACCCATCTTTAGCAACAATCCTGCTTAAAAAAAAAAAAGGAGTTCAAGATGTGTATGCAAAGTAACAGTTGTAGAAAAAGACATTTGCAGAATAAGAATTATTCTATTAATGAAACACAGGAAACAAAATCTAGATGAAATCAAATTAATAAAATAAAAACAACTATAAATATTTTATTCATTCTTCCCATTTTTATGCAATCCTATCAACAGATATCACTGGTTTCTGAATGACTAACAAATTCCTGAAAGAAAAAAAAGACAACCAAAAACAGCCAAAATGTTTACTAAATATATGCCTCAAAATTGCAGATGACTTACCAAACAGTTGATTAGTTAAACATTCTTTAATGGTGTTATTCTTGCAACCAAATATAACACCACCAAGCTGGCTCTTTACCAGATTTCTAGCAGATGAACGGGTATAGGTTGGATTTGTAGAAGGTGAATTTCCAGTCATAATGAAAGTTTGTGTTTTCCTCCCTGCCCCCATCCTGTGACCAAAATTGAAAAAGATAAAAAATGCCAAACAAAATCTGAAACTGCAACTAGAGCTTAAAACATGAGTAACTACTGCTAATCAAAAGGGCTCAAAAACTTCAACCAAAACATTGAAGATATTGATCAAATAACATTGTAAAATAAGTACTAAATGCAGCACAATCATGAAACAGCAAATTTATAAAATATCAGCAATCACAAGAACAACAGATCGGCGGAAACAAAAACCTAACCTAAACGATTAATGAATTGACTTTCGTTAATAAAAACAAAGGCCATTATGTTAAACAAAAGATGGAAATCTTACTTTGATGAGCAAATTGAATCACAAACAGGATTACATAATAAACCTACATCAACCTCATCAATATCCATTCCTTAAAATTACTCTCATTGAAAAAAAAAAAAACTATACATTTCTCACAAATTAATTAAACTCATGACGCTTTCAAGATTCACTCGCTTCAAAACACATTCATAAGAGCAAAGCATGTCGTAGCATAAAATTTAAAAGAGAAAAAAAAGCAAGCAAACATGGCCGTAATATCAATATAATAAAGTAAAATTTAAAGATTAATGCAACAACAATAATAACACAGTAATTTGTCCGTATATAATAACAAATAAATAAACAATAAAAACCTAATAGTAGAGTGTGATGCTCAATGAACAAAACCTGGAAATACAGTTCAATGTAATGCTATCAGAATCACAACATATGCTTAAAAAGAACTTCGAAATAAAGAAAATCGCAAACAAATAATTCGTTTGATAGAAACGGAAAAAAGAAAGTAAAAGCGAAACGGCAAAGACTTATTTAAACTTCAAAAGCAAACAAATGCAGCGCAAAACCCTAACTATCACTAGCTTTAATCGAATCACCGAATCAAAGTGAAACCGAGTTCACTTTCTATGTTAAACCTTCCGATTGAAGCACAGCCGCAGCAAACTTTGAAAATCGAGCGAACAAAACTGAAACAAAAAAAAACGAATGAAAGAACAAAAAAGAATGAAAGTTGAAAAGAAGATAAGCGAAAAGAAAATGTGTCAAAGAGAGATCCGTACACTGTGCGCCGACGAGGGTGCCGATAATGGAAACAGTGTGCTCCACTTTAGAGTGCGTGGCAAGAAGCGCGAAAAGGAAACCGATTAGTTTTTTACTTTTTACACATAAATATATACACATGAGCGAGGGACTGTGAGAAGTACGCACCCGGCGCGTTTTAGTGTTGTATCAGAGAAAGATAGTAAAAAACATTGTTTAGTAATTCTATTGGCCATTCTTGGGGATTGGGAAGGGTTCAGCGATGTGTTTTAAAACGACATCGGATAGAAGCTGATGCTTACCCAATACCCTTCAAACTATTTCCCAGTAGGCAGTATGCATCCACTTATCATGGACCAAAGTGTAACATGATTAAGGAAGATTTGCAAAGATATATCATGAGCTAGTCCCTACCACTTTGGTTTGAATTTTTACATCAAAATCAAATGAATTTTGGCACTTTATTAAATGGCATCTAATTTACTGGTTTTAAAGTTATTAGAATTTGTTACCTTTTGTTCCCATCTTCAAATAATGTGTTCGTGTTAACATATAATAATGTAAGAAGTATCAATATAGAAATTTTAATTAGAAAATTTCATTACGTTACATGTCAAGATTGTTTTATTTCACCCACCCATGAGTAGCCAACACGATGGGTGAACTAAGCGAATTGTGTTTAGCTTTAACCCATAGTATTGAGTTCAATTCCCTGCTGGCATAAAGGTATTACTCTTTGTTCGTGATTTATTTGAGAGGTAACAACGGTAGGTTGTTGTACGATAATTTTTCTTGAGAATTAGTCGAGATACGTGTAAGTTGATCTAGACCTTAGTTAACAAAGAAAAATTGTTTTATCTCGAATTTTTTTTTTCATAAATAATATGATGTTAGTTATATGTAAGAATTTTTCAAAAAATAATAATATAGAATATAGTTTTTTATGGTCTTTCAACTTTAAAGGCTCTCTAAAATATATATATAGATATAATTTAAGACTTTTGGGTTGCATTTTTTTTTTTTTTTAATTATCTTTAGATTATGAATCAAAACTACCTCAGATAATCTTCTAAAATTGATAATATAATATGTGATTTAAAAATTAAATTTATACGAAAAAAATGAGATATAGACAAATAAAATTAACTAGGAAAATCTTAAGGTTAGCTGTTTACTATTAGAAGAAATGAGGTCCATCATTTGCTTTGGGCCCATGGAGTAAGATGGGGGCCCATAATATTAACAGGGGTTCATCATTAGCAATTGGAGCTCATTAGAAATTGGCATGATGGTCTTTACTTTCATTTTGTTCCTTAAGCCATGCGTAATCTTAATTGAGGTTTTGTTTAGGCATCTTTTCCCTAATTTCAAACTTAATTAGGGTTTTTATTTACACCGTTGATCCCAAATTTTAAACTTAATTAGGTTTTTGGTTTATATCTTTTTTTACCAATCTCAAATTTGAATTTTACTTTTTATTCTTCAAATTGATATTCATTTCGTTGTGTGATTACTTTTTTCATAGCTTTAATACTATATTTTCATCAAACAAATAAATATTTGAAATAAAAATTGATCAATTTGACAGGGTTTAAAGAGATTTTATGGTGGATATTGATCAATTTGATAGAGGCTAAAAATCAGTTGTCTTTTTTTTTTTGTCTTTTTTTTTTTGTAACCAAGTTATCCGGGTCAATTTACGCACACCTCGATTAATCCTCGTGAGAGATTAGAGCAACAACCCACAGCCACGTGCTTCCACTTAAATTGCAGGTGCTTAGTCAGAGAATCGAACTTAAGATCGTGTGCCTATCAAGCTGTCCTCAATTCATCCAAATCATCTGAGCTACCCACAGATAGGTCTTGCCCTTCTTATAATCTCATATAGATTTTGATATATGATTATCTGCGTGTAAAAATGTGTTGTAAAATAAATCGAATAAGATTGATATTTGAATTATGAATAATATTACACCAACAACTCTTTCTCACAAACTTTCTCTCGCAACCCTGACGTAACAGTTTACAATTGGTTAATTCACAATAGGTCTCACATGGTTCTCACTAATTAATTGTAAGCTGACACGTCAGGGTTGTAAATAAAAGTTTGTGAGAGAGAGTTGTTAGTGTAGTATTATTCTTGAATTATATAAGATTGGATTACAACAGTGATTACAGTTTGACAAACATGTTGCAAATTTGGTTGACATTATTGGATAATAATAAACATTAATTAAATCTCTCCATAATTATAGGTTATATTACCATGTAATAAAACTAAATCTCTAAATAATTGTTTATCACGTTACCATGTAATAACATTATTGAATGAATAAACATTATTGAATGAATAATAATATCATTAAAACCATCAATAATATTTTGATTATTTAATCATATATTCTTAACGCTACCCTATAATAATAAATAATCACAATTTCGTGAGACCGACGGAGCAGATTGCTTGGTTTGGTCATGTGATTGTGGGTTTAGGAAATTGAATTGTAGTCTGCCATGATGGTAGCCTGCCACCCATTCATCCATCAATCAATCAGTCACTTTTCTGGTGAGACTCTTCTTTACGATTTAGTAATATGCAAATTCAGGCAAACCTAATCTCTGAGCGCTACAAATGGCTAGTTGTTGGCTTTCTTGCATGCAGGGCTTTCATGTATAAGGGTGTAAATGTCACTTTTAAAACCCAAGGGGATGCAATGAAATTGCCCTAGATGGTAGGAAGATCATTCAAAGGTGTGGTAGGGGCTAAAAAACCAGCCATGTTTTTCAGAGAAGTTTTCACATGTACAGAACAGTACAGGGCAGATGATCTCTCAAAGTTAAAGAGAGTGTACGTTCCATTTGCATCAGCAATAGTACAAACTTTGAATTGTTTTGTCATTCATGACAGGAAATGGTCTGGCAATCTAAGCCCATAACCATGTTCGTTGCAGATGGAAGGTTCATAGCCATAAATAAATGTCACCTCAGCTGGCTCATTCACAAAGCTCGACAAACAACTTTGCTAGCTGAGTTGAAACCAAACTGTATGGATCCTAATCGAGCCATGCAGGTTAGTAATCAAATGGGTACCTTTCCATTATAAATTGGTTTTTAAGAGAGTGTTCTACCCGATTGGTACAATTGGTTTGAGAGTAACTGGAGTCATTTCTTGTCGTTGGGTAAACCTGGGTTCGTTGTTGTTGGGTGGACGTTGATCGCAAAGCGGATTGTAACAATCTTAATCGTAATAACCACATAGACACCCTCTTAATGAAGAGAATAAGAGAGTTTGTTTCTCCCTCTCACTCTTTACTTGAGGTTTAACTATAATTTCAATAATATTCTTGAAGATTTACGACAGTTTCCAGATAAGAGGGCCAAGAAATCAATGGATGGTTGAACTTTATTAATGGTTTGAAATAAAAGAAACCTCTTTTTTGATTCCTTTAACCTCTCAAAATGTTGACATTTGGGACGTAAATGAGCTGTATTCCTTATAAGATTTTGAGTTAGCTGTAGCAGTGGGACATAAAAGAGTTAAAGATCATGTTATTGGAAGAATCTTAATCAGAATATTGTGCTAATTTTCCTCCTTTGATTAACAGAAGAAGATATTCTTTTCAGGTGGATGCACATTTCAACTTTTATCATCAATTCTTTTTTGGCTTATTCATCTTCCTTTTGATCCACCGAATCCAACATATTAATACTCTGGTATAAACAAATTTAAAACCATATATTGCTGCCTTGCACATGGGATGGACTGTATCTTTTGTTACAGTTCTTTTTTTTTTTCTTTCTAATTTGTATGATTCGAAAATCCATGAACTCTTTTGATGAACTTTGTTGGCTTGATGGGAATGGGATCAATAATTCTTTTATGGATTTATTGACACGTAGATATATAAGGATATATCTACGTGGTATCTTTTGTGCTTAATCAATATAATTACATGAGTTCTGTAAAGTCTTTTGCTTCAATTTATTGCCAAATGTGAGTTTTTTCTCTTTGATATCTAAAAACTTAAGTTTTTGACCAATCATAGGACCTTTTATCCTAACAAATTCGAGCTCAGAACAGAAGTTTTTATGAACCCTTACCATATAGAGAAAATGGGAAAAAAATGTTCGTCTGGGTGTTGTTGACGCCGAGATTTGCACCAATGAGAAGTACATAAGATCTATATTAGAATCTAAGTAAGAGTTTGTATAAAACCCCTAATCTCGATGCAAGATAGATGAATGAATGAGAAATTGATCAATAACATTAAAAAACAATTTTTAAAATGGTTCAGATGCTAAATACAAATCCTACATCCAGATTCACTGTTATTGTATTGCTTTTTGTGTTTTCTCTCTGTGCGCAAGTACAATTTACAAAGTATTAATTAAAAATCGGATCCCTAATCTGAATGAAAAGTAAATTTATATACTGTTATAATGACAGGGATTTACTATCCAACAGGTGTTAAAGTTATGAGACCAATAATTTAATCTTAAAATTTGGTGGAAACCTACACATGCTCTAATAATAATAAAAAGGAAAAAAAAAAATCAATGTCATAACCAATA